CCAGTGAGACTATTTAATTATTTAGTTATTTAGTCAGTCATGGGACTTGAACTCTGGGCCTGAGCACTGGTCCCTCAGCTCTTCAGCTCAAGGCGGGCGCTCTACCACTTGCGCCACAGCACCCCTTCTGGTTTTCTGGTGGTTTACTGGAGATAAGAGTCTCCTGGCCTTTCCTGCCCTGGCTGGCTTTGAACTGCGATTGTCAGATCTCAGCCTGAGTAGCTAGGATGACAGGCGTGAGCCACCAGCACCTGGCTCCGATGAACCACTGAAAGACCAGAAGTGGTGCTGTGGCTCAGTGGTAGAATGCCAGCCTTGAGGAACAAAAGCTCAGGGATAGTGCCTAGGCCCCAAGTTCAAGCCCCACAACCTACCTTATTAAAAAATGCTCAGGACAGGCAGAGATGAGGAAACTGAGGCAAGTGTGGCAGAGCCCCAAATTGCCAGCTCCGCCACCCTGGGTTTGACCAGATACATCTCACAAGAGTTAGGCAGGCCCAGCGCTGATGGCTCACGCCTGTCATCCTAGCTACTCAGGAGGCTGAGATTTGAGGATGTAGGTTCAAAGCCAGCCCAGGCAGGAAAGTCCATGAGACTCTTATCTCCAGTGGACTACTAGAAAATCAGAAGTGGCGCTGTGGCTCAAGTGGTAGAGCGCTCACCTTGAGCTGAAGAGCTGAGGGACAGCGCCTAGGCCCTGAGTTCAAGCCCCAGGACTGACAAAAGAAAAAGAAGGCGGGTGGGGGTGGAGAGTGAGTCACCAGGCCGCGATCGGTGGCCCCTGTGCCCACGCGTGTCCATCCCCCTGACCCTCACCCCCACGTGTCTTCATTCAGACGAAGCCCGCTCCAAGAAGTGCGGGGTCCTGGTGCACTGCCTGGCGGGCATCAGCCGCTCGGTGACTGTCACCGTGGCCTACCTGATGCAGAAGATGAACCTTTCCCTCAACGACGCGTACGATTTCGTCAAGAGGAAAAAATCCAACATCTCGCCCAACTTCAACTTCATGGGACAGCTGCTGGACTTCGAGCGGACACTGGGGCTCAGCAGTCCATGCGATAACCACGCGCCCAGCGAGCAACTCTACTTCTCCACACCCACCAACCACAACCTGTTCCCCCTCAACACGTGAGGACTGCACCCCGGCCTGCTTTTTTTTTGGGGGGGGGAGGGAGGGGAAAGCACCCCACACACATCGATCGGCCTGTGCTCCGAGAGACCAGGCCCAAGCAGAGGCTGAGATCACTGGTCAGCAAGCGTGACCATCGGCCGGACGTGCTAAAGACCCCGTGGCCCTCAGATGACACGTGGTTTTGAGGGAGCCAGAGAAAGGGACCCCCCATTTCTTACCCAGGACACCTGCATTCTGCTGATAGGCCAGTGAAATCTGGCTGTTTTTGTTTTTTAAAAAAGACATATCCACAGATGGGAGTTTTACTTTTGGCAGGTAAAAAAAATCTCAAGCTCTGGGGAGCCCAAGGAGTGTTTAAACTCTTCTAGATTTTTCTTTTTCCCTTTTTTTTCTCTCTCTCTTTTTTTTTTGTTGTAAACAAAAAGTATTATTTTCCAGGCACCATGCTACATCGGATTATATTACCCCAGTATTTCACCCCTTTCTTGATGTAGGAGAGAGAGAAAGAATATTCTTCTGTTTCTTTCTTTCTGATTTTTTTTTTTCTTCTTCATTTTGGGAAAAAAAAAAAAAGGTGATGGATGAGTTGTTTTTTTTTTTGTCTTGGGTTTTTGTTGCTGTTGTTGATGATGATGTTGTTCTTCATGGAAGAGACAAACTCCCGTGTTGATCTTGACCAAATGTATTTTCTTTTTTTTTTGCACATGTGTGGAAAGCCTCCATTTCCTCCCGGAAGATCCTTCTGGAAGAACTAGCTTGATCCCTCTTGGCTTCTTCCCCACTGGGCCTGGCCGAGTCTTGGCCTCGTGCTGATTGCGTGCTTATGGGTCGGACTGATGGTCTTGGCATGGTCTGATCTTTCCCTCTTGCTGGGAGTCCTGGCCTGGGACAGAAGATGTCCTGGTGGGGCATTGCCAAAACAGTAGCATGAATCCTGGGGGGCTCCGTGGCCCTGGGTCCTTTGACACCCGTACCCACAGATTCTATCTCCATCTCTAGAGCTAAGTGTCGGAGGGGGCGGAAGGGGAGCTGGGAACTCGGCCGGGGCTGCTCCCCAATTTCAGCCCAAGGGGGTAGAACAAGCAAAAAGACAGGCTGGTGGAGTGATTGTCCCCCCCACCCACCCACCCCCCAGCCTTCCCACAACACAAAGCCACGGATTCCGTTTACACCCCCCTCCATAGGCTTCCTCCTCCAGCTTCAAGTTGTCACCAGCGGTCACAGAGACCTGGGAGGGGTTGGGGTTGTGGTAGGGGGGGGGAGGTAAGGGGGGGGGCAAGCACTGAGCTAGGGTTCCCTGAGGCCAGCCCAGGACTCAGCACGCCAGCAGAGGCCACGGAAATCCTGCCCCTACCACATCATACCTCACACCAGGTGTGGTTTTTCAGGGATCCTTTGGGGGCCACGGGTTCAAATCCTGCCACCAGTGAGACGTGAACAAGACTCTTCCACGCTGTATATGGTTCTCTCTCTCTCTCTCCTCTCTTTTATTTTTAAAATGAAAAATCCCAGAAAGACGCGTCGGGTGGCCAGTTTTGCTTTGTGATCTGAATGAAGGAAAATTTGTGACCCTCCATCTGTACACACACACACACACACACACACACACACACACACATCTCTCTATCTATATCCCGAACCAGCGGCGGCGGGACTTTGTTTATATTGCAAATAAATATTATTTTTTCTTTACACCGAGTCCTGGTATTCAAGTTCAGGGGGAAGTGCTGTGGTCTAGCACCCCAGAATCTGCCTCTCTGGGGACACGGGTCGGTCCAACCGAGGGTTTGCCAGACCTTTAACTTCCGTAGATCACCGTGACTTACTCTTCACCATCCTTGGAGACCTATGGGTGCTGTGTTATACAGCCAGCTCGGTGTGGGTCTGGGGGTGAAGGGGGGTGAGGGAGAGACTGGGGTCTGGGGCTACCTCTGGGGAGGAGGCTAGTGTCCGTACTCCAGGGGCATCGGAGACCCCTGCTATCACGGGGTGATAGCAATCTGGGTGCTGACTCAGTTTCCCCTCGTCTACCTCCGCACTGGTCTGGGTCTGGTGGCAGGCAACCCAGCCCCTCCCTGCCTTTTGAGACATGCAGGCCACCTCCCCCGACCCCCATCGCAGGAATACAAGCCAGGCTCTCCCCGCCTTGGAAGTGGGTTCAAATGATGCCAGATCTAGGCCTTGGTGTAGCACTCAGAATGGAGGTGTGGCTATGCAGGGGAGAGGCGGGGGGGCGGGGAGGAGTGTGTGGTGGGGGTGGGGATAAGAGGCAGGGTACTGATTCTGTACCCAGGCTTCCTCCCTCCCTCGTCTTTCTGTGCCAGGGGTGGGCAAGAGGGTGGGGGGTCACTGGGCAGGCAGAGACTGAGCCTTTGTTTCCCCCACTGCTCTTTCTTGCTCAGGCTGGGGAAACCCACGGGTGCTGGGCCTTTGATAGGCCGAGTAAGTGCCAGGCAGTGCCAGCCTGCCCAAGTACAAGCCAGTGTGGGGGGAGAGTACCAGTCATATCCTCAGATGACTCCTTACATGAACCGGGGAGAGGTTTGGGGGGTGCATGAAGCAGAGGGGCCAACGTCACCCCACTGTACCTCCGATGCAATATGGGCTCGGGCTTTTCTAGTGTATTCATCTAGGAATTTCTTCTATTTGTCGATTGCTGGGCTTGAACTCGGGGCCTGGGTGCTGTCCCTGAGCTGCTTTTACTCAAGGCTGGAGCTCTATCACTTTGGGCCACAGCGCCACTTCCGGTTTCCTGGTGGTTCACAGGTGGTAAGAGTCTCACAGGCTTTTCTGCCCAGGGTCCCTACCTGGGGGGGACCCTGAGTCCCTGTTCATTTATCATCTTGGGCTCTGGACCAAGCCACACCGGGCAAATGACCACGATAATACCGCTAGTGTCCCCTGTGCTTTGAACACCTGGAGTCTACCCCAGCTTGTGTCTGCTTTGTCTCTGCATTCTAAATCCTGTCCCTTTCCTCCTGACCCTCTCTTCCCCCCCTCCCCTTTCTGTATCTGCCTCTTTTCCAGCCCCAGACCCAGCCTTTTTTTTTTTTTTTTGTCGGTCATGGGGCTTGAACTCTGGGCCTGGACGCTGTCCCTCAGCTCTTCAGCTCAAGGCGGGTGCTCTACCACTTGAGCCACAGCGCCACATCTGGTTTTCTGGTGGTTCATTGGAGATCAGAGTCTCACGGACTTTTCTGCCCGGGCTGGCTTTGAACCTCGATCCTCAGATCTCAGCCTCCTGAGTAGCCACTGGTACTCTGGTATTGTCACTATCTCCTTCAGTGCCTCTGAACAGGGAATCAGAGGGTTGTTTTCCCTGCATCTCGAATTATTTCCGCCTCTTCCCCCTTCCCGCCCCCCCTCCCCCGGGCCTTATGCCCAGAACTGGCATTTCTGGGGCAAACACCTGTGCTCCATTTTGTTCTAGCCCGGTTTCCAAAATGGCAAAACCGGGACTATGCGCCATTCCCGTTGGACTATTCCTGTCATTGATGTAGGGAAGCTGAGTGTTTGTTCCTGGCACCTACTAGAGAGAGTGAGAGAGTCCAGCAACATCTTGGGGGGACCCCACCCCTTTATCCCACTTTTGAGTTGCCCCTCCTTAATCTGAGCTTCTACCTAGGCCACAAAACCCGCCTCGTGGCTGGTCTTTGCCTGGGAGTTGTGCTGACATTTCAGCTTCTGTGTCTGTAACGCCAGCTACAGTCGTGAGAAGACCAACACACTTGCTCCTGCAGTGTCTGCATGATGAACATTTCATCTGGCAACTGCCTCCATTGGGAGGTTACAGAGCTGAGGCCGGCAGGGAAGGCTCCTGTCAGGAAGGGGGTGGAGGGTGGGTCACATTGGCTGAGCCCTGATCTTGCTGATCTGAGCCTCGATCTCTCTGGCAGAGCCCCCCTATTTTCAACTCCTCCAAGCCTGAGCCACTAAAGGGACCTTTGGAGCTTTTACATTTTTGTTCCCCTAAACTCTCGATTCCCAACTGTGCCAGCCCCTGGAAAGCTTGCTTCTCGCTGCATCTGTGGGGGCCGGTAGAGGAGGAGAGCTGGGAACAAGCCTGGAAAACCTGGGTAGAAAGGCCTAAGCCAGGAGTGATGGAGAGAGGCTGGACATCTTCCCGTGCAGATGAACCTGTAGCTTGTGTGCATAGCCCTTCCTCTTCCGGGAGCAAAGGTCACTGGGTGGCTCACACCGGTCCTCAGGAGGCTGAGATCTGATTTTCTCAGTTCAAAGCCCAGCCCGGGCAGGAAGGTCCATGAGACTTTAAAAAACAAAAACCTCCTATCAGAGCTGGGAAGGTGGCTTCGTGGTAGAGCGCTTGCCTTGCATGCATGAGGCCCTGGGTTCGATTCCCCAGCACCACCTAAGCAGAAAAAAGCCAGAAGTGGCACTGTGGCTCAAGGGGTAGAGCACTGGCGTTGGGCTGAAGAGCTGAGGGACAGCGCCCAGGCCAAGAGTTCAAGCCCCATGACCAGCAATAACAACAACAAAATCTCCAGTCCAATGCCCAGAAGTGGAAGTAGGTATCAAGGGGTAGAGCACTAGCCTTGAGCTAAACAGCCAATCAAGGAGGCCCCGAGTTCAAACCTTAATACTGGCACCTAAATTCATTCATTCATTCATTCTAGTCCCTACCTGTCTATTCTTTCCCTGAGCCTCCTCTTCCAGGAAGCCTTCCTTCACTGTGTCCCCTAGCTACTCTCTCCCCTGAGGATCTGGGGGCCACCGCTTACTACCTCTGCCCACCCTGCTTGCCGCCCTCCACTGGGCCGTTTTCCAGCCAGAGAGAAAGGTCTGGTCGTTCCTATTTAGAAAGCCATGACTCGGCTAAGTGGAGGGGTCCGAAGGCCATGTTAATTGATTCATTAAACCCTTTCAGTTAATTAGCCGCAGCCTTCCTGAGAGGTGCAGCAAAGAAGCAGGTTGGAAAACAGAAAAAATCTAGCACAGAGCCAAAAACCTCCACTAGACCAAGAGGAGAGTTTCAACTAAGCCCCGATCACACGGAGCCTGATACCGGCTCCTAAGAGCAGGTAGGATCCCAGCGGGGAGAAGAGGTCTAGGTTTGGGAACCGCTTGGACTCCTTGGCTGGGGAGCAGAAGCCTCCAGCTTGTGCCTAGACCCAGCCATTCCTGAACACGCCACACCCCAAAATCTCCAGGCCAGAGGTAGCTCAGATTGGATACCACCCCAAGGTTTCCATAACATCCACAGACATCCTGCCTAGCCCAACTCCCCCCAACCCCCCCCCTTCTTCAGGATCAGCCATATTGTGATTCAGGAAACAGGATGTGTGTGGGGAGGAACCCCTGTACCCAGCTGTTCCCAGTCTAGCCCTCAGGGAGTGGGAGGCTCAGAACCCAGAACACCCAGGCAGAGTCTGCGGCCTTGGCACCAGGCCCAAGCCTGTCCTCAGGCTCCCTCAGTAGCTGGCCGAGTGGGAAGAATAGGCCTTTTCACGTCACGCCTCCTCCAGTCACAGCAACTTTGGCGCCCCGGGACAAAGGCCCTCGTTTC